AACACAGTTAATCTTATGAGGCACTAATAAAAGACGTGGACTTCTTTAGAAATCCATTTTAAAATATTTCATGTTAAAGTTGAACAGTCCTTCAGAGTTTTAATATCCAGCAAAATACTGGGTCACAGAGCCGAGGAGTACAGTAAGAAGTTGGTATTGCAGTACTTCTATTTTAGAGTACATGCAAAAGTTTTCATGTCTCTAAATTTCAGTACGTTCCTGAACTTTACCTCATCTTATAAAGACGTCACTTGGCGTATGGCCTGGAGTGCAACAACTATAATGTAAAACTAATTTAATTATAAACATTGAAAACCATAACATAGAATCTAACAAACAACCTGAAGAGAATTGTTGAGGCTCAGCTGCAGAACAAATTCAAACAAATAATGGACATAATCAGACAGTGTCCATGTCTTTGACTCGCAGACAATGGTAAAAAAAAAACAAAAAAACAGGAGCAATCAATAAACCACTAAAAGCAAATAAAAAAACATAAAAGCAGTTTGGGGGGAGAGTCGAGGGGGGGGAGTTCTCGAAATTGAGCAGGAGAGCTTGTTTCGGATGAAATCCTTAAAGGCAGGAAGAGATGAAAAAGGCTCAGCACTGAAGCCCTTTATTTTTTTGTTAAAAAATGATTCCAGCCCAATGCATTAATTTATGCCTTTGCTTCTCTGGTTGGATAATTTAATATAGCAGGTTGAGAGATTTGTTCTGTCACCCTCCTGTGCCACCTGTGACCACCCCCCCTCCCCTGAAGCCATACACATTCATTTGTGCTATGTCTGTTGAAAAATAGTCCCAGAGTGGATGGTGCCAAAAATCTGTAATAATGGGCCCTGAGATAAAGATTTCTTTGAGTGATGGCATAATGAGAGCTTTATAAATATGCATCGGTCACTGGGGGAGCCATACTTGGATTATTAAAACTGCAGGGTAAGAGGTCAGGCTAATCAGATGGACCTTGGAGTGGAGGCCCATACCGACAGAGGAATTAGTCGGGCCAGATGTCTGGACCAAAGGTTGGTTTTTCCACACGTTTGAAGGCTTCTGTTTCTATTATTTATGTGGAAAACTCCACTGGAGAAAAAAAAAAGAAATCACCTGGAAGATCACAATCAGCTGAAGCAGAGGGTTCGAGGTGGTGACATTAGCAGGCTGCTAATGTATAAAGCTGAACCCATTAAAATGAACAGAACACACAATCACAGTCACAACAAATTACATATTTATGCCAATATTCACAGTAGCAACTGAACAGCAAGCTGCTGCCTCTGCAGGGTGCCTCTCCAGCATCGCTGCTTCTTTCTGCTACAGCAATACAGCAATAGTCTGAACCACACAGAAAATTAAACTGTTTTTTTTTTTCATCTTCTGTTTTTTTTTTCTCCTTCCACTGTGCTTCAACAGAATATGAATCTAAATTTAAACCTACGCTTGGAGGAGATACAGAAGGGTTGGACTTGGAGATCTTCCACTTGCTCTGCATGGATATCTCACTGCTGAGGTATGCTAATATTAGTGTACACATATGGGCTACACACCAATGTTATGTTACCGAATGATGCCCTAACTGTTGTAGCGCTTGCTGGGATGTAAAAGGAGAAACAGGGCCATTCTCAACAGTTAGTGAGGAGCAGAGGGAGGACAAGGCAGCTGTTTCTTTTTTCTTTTTTACGTTTACCCACAAAAGTTAAGAGAAAATGACTCAGAGAGAGGAGCAACAGGCAGAGGCAGCAGCTGGGGTTTTACTGGGACAGACCTCAGACCACAGAGGTTAGTCACTACAGTAGACTGTACAAAAATACAGTCACAACATTTGAAGTGTTTTATTATTGAGTGGCCGATTAGTGACAAATCAAGGATCACTTTTATTTAATTTGTGAGAAAATTGTCAGCTTAACTAATTACAGTCCTGCTGGGGTCTGGATTTAAACCGAAAATCCTCTGGTCAAAAGCCAAATCTGGGGAAGAAGAATCCCCCCTTCCACCGTTTACCCTAATAAAAACATTTTAATATTTGATCAGGATAATTACTGTGAAAAGTAAAAATGAAAAATTGATTTTGTGAACATATTAGAATTATCTGACAAATCAAGTATAATAAAATATATATATATATATATATATATAAATTATAGTTCCTAATTTTACACACTAATCATGGGCAGATATTAAATTGACCTGATGATAATATTTTAACTTTTTTCCACAATGTAACATTGCTGTCAACATCAGACATCATTTGACATTAACACAGTCCCATGATTTATTTTCTTCTACAAGTCAGTTGATTTTAGTAGATTATATTCAAACTGAATCTGAATAAATTCCACTCCCTACGTTGGAGCTGATCGTCCATTCTGGGTTGAATAGAATTGAACTGTGATTGTATCATTTGGACCCTTCCACTCCTTTCTGGAGCTGATTCATTCCTCTGCGGACTGTGGATGATGACGACTTCATATGCACAGTGACCTTAATATGTTTCACACAATGGCTCATTTGTGGCTATCAATACCGCTGCCTCAACACTGTTCACTGTGTGTTCATTAAAAATGTCTTATTGCTGCTTAATTCCAAACAGCTGAATATAGCCCACGCCTACATGAGACGTTTCCTGCGTCCAGGGAACAAGTTAACCTTTGTGTTCACATACAGCTGGATCGTATAGCAACCAATCAGTTGGCAAACGTGCGTTATAATTGTATTTTTATTACATAGATTAAAATAGTATTTAAAGGAAGTACATTCATGTTCAGTGTCAGTGACTGCCACTGTTAGCGTCTCATTAAGTAAGCAGTAAGTGATAAGACGTTGGAATTTCCACCTGATGCTGGATAAAAGGCACAACACATTTAGTATGTATTATAGGCTCATTAGTTATGTAAAGGAACTGGGCCAGGTCTTAGAGAACAGCTTACCTGAGAACTGATGATAACACAAAGAAAAGTAGCACAAAGAAAGTTAGAAGAAGGTCATGGAGTGGTACTAGATAATTATGTTCACTTTCTAACTGCTTTGTGACCAAATTACAATTTTACCAAGTGACAATATACAGATAGTATTTACTGTTCATATCTGGTCCACAACTGGATGCCAGTAACATTTGATGCTTACTCTTGAGAAATTAGTATTTCCAATCGTTATACATTTTCAATTATAAAATTAGTTTATCAAGTTCATAAAATGTGACTATAGCATAGCCTATGCATTAATAAATAGTCTTTTTAATATATTGTGTATTTATTACTTCAATTTTAGAGGCACTACAAATTAATTTTGAATGATGGGAAAACAAGAAGTAGAACCTGATCTCAAATATGACACTGTAACACATGGTGGACTGGGCTGAGAGGCAGCTAACTTAATTGAAGTCTCCAATCAAGCTCATGAAGACACAGCTGGCAGTCACTCAGGATAAAGTAAACCACTCTGGAAACATCCGTTACATACATTACTGTATGGCTGAAAGCGCTGGGAAGGAAAGAAAAATAACCACAGTGGCGACTGAACACAGGAAACGGTTTGTGTCATCGCTCTCTTGTACACACATTTATCAGACTTTACACAGTCCTCACCCAGGCCGCTACAGTCCATAAGTGATAAATTGAATCTGGACACATGTATCACCGGCTTCTAACTGGATTACTGATGACTAATGTGCAAAAATGTACATACGTGAGTTAGATTATGAATGAGTTCATGTGGTGAGTTCATGGGCCTCAGAAGATTGGTAGATCGTTTCACAGGCATTTAGTTGTCACGCACCAGTTTTCAGTGTGGCGTTCTGGTGTCTTAAACACAAAAACAGAAGCTCAAGGTAGTTTTAAAGAGTACATCACCTCAGCTGTTGTATCTGCTGCTGTGGCGACAATATTCTTCTCCAAGACTGTTTAGTTCCAGCAGAAATGTGACGGGAAAAACTTTCCAGCAAAACCAAAAACACAGCAAAATTCAGTACCAACCCTTGAAGTTCACCTTTTTTAAATGTTAACTGAAACTCTGCACCTTTTGACAAGAAGTGATATTAACCTCTGGGTAGTTTTCAATATTTATTTATATCTAAAAAGTATTTTTATTTATTTAAAAAGTATCATTTCCCAATAATCAGTAAATAAATACCATGAAAACAACAAGGACATCAGTGTTACAGCATTACTGCATGGAGATGTGGATACGGTGGCCCATTTTGAATTAATTGATGTTATTTAATTATGCTTTTTTTATAATTGTTTTGTATCGTTTTGACTTCTTTGGTCACACTATTATCGAATGAAAACGAAAACTAAAATATTGCAATATCAAAGACAGGAAAAAAATGGGGACATTTTTCGAAGTATTCGTCCAGCCGTACAAATACAGGTCTTGACTCATGACCCAGTCATGACCCATTTCTATGGAGCGCCACAGCGCTGCCTCCCACCCAACCTTCAATGACGGTTAATTCTGTCTGTAAGCCGACCTCAGCGGGGTGTCCTGACCGCTCATGCCACCCATATTCGTAACCCCTGCCTTGAAGTCTACAGAACGCTGATATTTTAGCATGAATCAGCAGCGTGGGATTATATGGAGTGAATCATGTCGGCCAGGGAATGCCCACTGTGCCTTTGAAATCGTGTGTTGGCGGAAATACTCCGCAGCATTCACCATGTGGTTGATTCGACAAGCCCGGCACTCTGACTGTTGTAAGGGCAAAGACCAGAAAATAAATATATCATAGGATAAATAAATCCAGTAAGACGTCAGAGAGAAAAGTACAAAAGCCTTTCCAGAAAGGCAACAGAATGTTTGGTATATTTATTTGTTTAAAGTTTGTTCAAGTTTGATAATTCACTTGAATAAACTAAGTCACCGATGCCAGAGCTGCTGGACTCAAAAGCAAAACACCAAATTAGTAACAGGAATAATCAGCAGACTTCGTCAGAATCAGAGAGGCAGGAGTCGTTAATACTGCTGAAGGAAGTGATCTGGAACAGACGTGTGGAGAGTGACCGGGTTTTACAGCAACAGGTGGAGTTAACAAGACAGAGGTGAGGAAGTTCAACTATAGGACCAGGGTGTTAGATAGATGAGTAAAGGAGTAAAGGCATTTTTATTGAGGCTGTCAATCAACTGCAATTTTAAATCTGATTATTTACTAAGTGGCTGTGGATTAATCATGATTAATCGAGATAAATCGACATTCCTAAAATGCTGCAGGAACAAAAAGACAAATATCATCAGGTCCCACAGATACATACTGGGCCTTAAGATGGTATTTAAAACACAAAGTGCTTCAATAAAACAAAAATTCTTTTTGACAGGGTGTACAAATGCCCTGTGTATTTGATAAGTTGATTAAGTGTGCATGAAGCTGTGGAGGTTTTTAAACCAACCAAACTTTCATGCCACACTGGGTTTTCATTGGCACCGATTAACATTCGTACGTTCGTGTTCACGCGCAGCATGTTGAGCAGCACAGTTTGTATCTGTACCAGGTGGTAAAAATAAGGTGAGTGATGAAGTCTGTGATCGGATGATGTGCTTTTCTTATCCCTCCCTGCTATCACCGCAGCTTATTTTATCTGCTCAGCTCTGTGCACAGACACGGCCCATTACTCAGGGTACAGTCGGGAAAACAGATCAAATTGAAGTGTTTTTTTTGTTGTTGTTGTTGTTGTTTTTTTGCATTTTTGTTTTATTTTTGCATTTTGAATCAACACCATGCTGAACAGTTAATTATCTCTCATGATATGCACAAAACAGACTGCAGTTCAGGCTGAAACAGAGGCATCAGCGAGAGCGAGAGAGAGAGAGAGAGATGGAGGAACACTCTCCTCTCCCTCTCCTCTCCCCATCTCTCATCACATACTGCGGCTCCTCCTCCCAACTTACTCCCCTCCACATCCCTCCCTTCCGCTGTGCCTCTTTCGCTCCGGCTCCATCCATCCTTTGCTCTTCCTTAATCTTTCATCCTGGGTGACACCGAGCCTCGCCTCCTGTGAGTGTGTGTGAAATGCCATGTGAACAGCATGTGTCAGTGTGTGCACATGCGTGGCTCTGCGGCTCACGGGGAGGACTCATGAAGTGCTCTGGACTCGGATATTAGATGTGTGTTTTTTAACAGCACTCTAAAATCTTTCCCATTAGAGAACCTCATTTTCTTCCACTTCTTGGGGCAGCGTCTTGATGGAATCTTCCCTCCTTTCCCCAGTATCTTGGATTTAATGAGCAGTTTTCCTGGAATGAAGCAGGCAATAACTGGATTCCTGTTGTCACAGCTCTGGTAAGGATAACTCTTTACTGTCTCCCCATTCCTCTCTCCCTCCTCTTGACTTTTCCTCTATATCCATCTCATTTTCTTTCACTCCATACTTGATTTATTTCTCATAATGCGTTGACAGATGTAGGTAGTAGACATTATGGAATATGGAAGCAGTTAAATGAAGCAGAGAAAGCTATTTAGGAAACAGAGGAGAAAATAAGGAAAGGCAGACTGGGAAACATGACAGACTGGGAGGGACGGGAGCAGGGACTAGAAATATTTGCTAACAGCAGCAGTGGTGCTTATGCTGTCAGAGACTGGAGGGGAAAAAAAAAAACGCTGCACTTGGTGCTTGCTATTGATCTGCTGTTATTTTCAGCTCCCGTCCCTCGGAGACAACTTCCTATAGCCCACCTGACAGTGATCCCATTGGCTCCAGTCATGGGTAACTGCTGACAAGGAAGTGCTTTGTCATAATAAAGGTGTGCAGTCGTGGTGTGCAGAGAGGACGAGGGTGAAGATGCAACGGTGCTATTTACATGTGTGTGCTGGCTGTGTACCGGCCTGAAATAGGAACTGAACACTGTGTGTGTGTGTGTGTGTGGGTGTATGTGTAGAGACAGTGGGGTTTTTTAGGTGTGTCTTTGAAGTATTTTTAGATCATTTGGTAAATAACTCGATGAACCTTTAACTTCAGGGCCTTACCTTTAACTCACTAGCAGTGTGTCTCGATTACTGTGTTATATAATAATGCATTTACCAATTTGTGTCATATGGTGTTATATTCTATACTCTATGTCTATCTATATTCTATATACTCTATGTTACAGACTGGTTCTTGTGGTGTTTGGATGATTTGTTTTTATGCAGATGATATATCAGATTGTTGCTTTGGCTAAAGGAAAACGCTAACAGCTATGGCTATAGAAACTCAGCCACAACCACATCTACTTCTGTAGAAAGCATTGTTCACTGCATTCTCTCCCTTTAAATAGACAAATAATTTATAATAACAACGATCAAACTGATAAATCAAACACACATTGGTGTGTGAAGAGCAAACACACCTATTTCTCCAACTTCCATTCACCCCATTCTTTTTCTGCGCCCAGTGGAGGTGCAGCTCAGTGGTTTCTTGATCAGTTGTATTGATTTACAATTGTGCAGTTACATATAAATGTACCAGATTGAGATGTATTGTACTATGAGATGTACTATTTAGACAGACTCGACAGGATACATCCTAATGTGTCACACATTTTTAACTCGACCTCCTCTCTAACTGTCCCAGCTGTAGTTCCTCAGCCTCATTTTTATGGCCCGATATTCAATTCAATTCCTGGTCATAGCACACTGAAAGAGGCGAGACCTTTATTTTCGTATACAGTCCGACACAAACTTCCTTGGTTCCCAGTTAATAATTCTTCACTCATCTCATCCTGTCTGTCTTCTAAATGAACTCTCTGCCTGCTAAATGAACTCCCGTCCGCTTAGAGATTTTTCGGAATACAAAGGAGAAGCAAAGGAGAGATTAGGGCAGAGATCGCCACAGGAGGACGGAACGGGAGTAGATCCTACTATAGCAATAAATGACTGACAGAAGACAGGAGAACAGAGAACAAAAGACACGGAGATACAAAGAGCGTCTGTGTGCAGAGGGCTCTCAGACGAGCAATCCTCCTCCGAGGCTGAGGCTCGTGCTTTTAGCGGGAGGTCAGTTTACTCACATCCCAGCTCTCCGCAGGAAAATGTGATAGATAGACTGTAGCCTGCAGCTCACACATGCCTGCCCGCATTTACTGTAAGGGACATCAATATTTATCACATTTCCCATTTCAGACTCAAAACTATGATAACACCGGAGGATGGGAGAATAATAAAAGATAAATCAAATCAGCCCACCGTGTGTAGACCCTCAGCCTCTGTTTCATTTATAACTCTTTTCCAGCACTTAGGCAGGGTCAGCTGACGCTGCTGCACAGTGAAATACAGGTGAAGCCATAATGGCCCGGGGTTTTTCAATGGCTGTATTGCAGAGCTTAGTCATAATGACAAAGGTAGGCGCTGTGTGTTGGTAAATGCAGACAAATTGGCCTTAAATGCACCACATGTACTGAATGGGTTTGTTTCATTACTGGAGATGTTTTTTTTATCAGTGCAAAAAGCAGAGCTAAAAGTCCTAATGCATTGTATGGATTTGTTTTTTTTTAATAAGCAGATGAGTTTTACTTAGTGGTGCTTTCACGACGGTTTAATTGCAGAGGAGCATTTAATTAGAATGGCGTCGCTGGTATATTTTGTAAACAATTCAATTAGATTTGGAAGTAGCATTCTGCATTTTCCTTAGTGATGAACATGTAAATGTCCTATCCATGGATACAATCAGCTAACTCATTAAAGAGTAAACAATATGAGTGCCCTCGTCTGTTTAATTTCTGTCTTCGCAGTTGTTAATGTGTTGCTAAACATGAATGTTTGAAGTGATGTTTTTTTAAAATGTTATTTCTTAATTATTTGATGTCATTGAACAGCTTGGCAACAGATATAAAATTAGCCATTAAGCTAAACCAGGTTGATTTGCATTTTGACTGCTTCAATAATGTGTTATTTTAAATTTAATTAAACAAAATGAACAATTTTCATTGCTTTTCACACGCAATATTTTTTTCTGTAATATAAATGACCAGATTAGAGCCTAAATCCCATTCCTCAAATGTAATGAAAACAGCAGTGACTGCAGATGGGCCAGTTATCAGCAGAACTCCATGTCATGACAGTAATAAATAACATGGGTCAACATAAGATTTTTCTGGCTCGGCTATCAAACATTTGCTCTACCTTTGCATGGTAACATAGTCAGGAGTCTGAGCGATCCCCTGGTGGATGCTCTTTCCATACCCAGACTTGATGCCTGGAGCTGTATCCACTTAGACTACTGAGGGGAAACATCCAGAATATTAAATATATGACTTTTCATCCTCACTGCACATGAGTATGAACTTTGTCAAGAAATTGCCAAACACTATTCACAAATATTTGGTAACAGAAACTCTTACACACACATCATACAGGATACAGTCACTCATAGAGCGCGTGGCCAACAGTTAGGCGTCAGTTTTTGAGCTCATCTGCTGTGATAAGATCTGGCCATGTGGTGGGTGACTCACGGTACCATGGATTGTTCCTCCACCCACATGGAGAAACCAGTCACTGCCCGTGACCAAACCAGAAGTTAACAGTTCATTTTTACTCAACTTTCAAAGCAATTACTCTCCAGGCTGAATAACGGTAATTACTGATGTGGTCCCATGATTTACCATGATGCATGAAATTAAGTTGGCAAATTGTTGCAGCAGTTCCCAGCTAATATTGTCCACAGTGCTCCACTCCCATTGTAGTCGGGCAGATGTGGACCATTCAATCAGCGGCGGCTTTGGCTTTTCTGAAGGAAGCTTTCCGTCTTAAGTTTAGAACACAATTACTCTCCCTGTAATAGTTTTAGCTATAATTTGTCAAATCAACTAAAATAATGTTCTGGAAAACGGGTAATAGCTAAATTTATAAGATGTGCTTAATCGCTGCAGAAGCTCTGATTAAAGTTTATCAAATCACTTTTAATACCTTTCACATTTCAGGAGAAGTGATAAACAGTCGGGGCGTGACAGCACTGGGAACAGAACTTCCTATTTGTGAACATAAACATTAATTTTCTGCTCTGCAGCGGAGCGTGGACCCGTGACTGCAGATACACATGGAAACTTTGCTTCTGTGGCTAGTAACAACAAAGGACTAACAATTTTGAACAGCGTTTGTGTTACATGTGGACGTCAAGGGAAGCAGGAAGGACCAGAACGAGATACCAGGAGGCATGGAATTATTTACTAATACTAGGAAACACAGAACAGGAAACTCACAAACAGTTATCCCACACACACCAACTGATCAGCTGCAGAACAATGAACCCACAAAGACAGAGCGAGGGAGGGAGGTGTATATACCCAGGGCACCAGGTGACACCAGTGAGACTAATCACAGAGACACAGGTGAGTGTGATGACACTAACTCCACCCAGCAGACGAGACAGGAAAGGGAAACACACACAGCCCTAACAGTTTGATGATTAATACGGTACTTTTTTACAAACATAAAGTCAAAAAAGCGTGAACTGGACGTGAGGTTGGAAATAATTTGAATCAAACAACTTCAGCGTTTTGTCTTTAGAGATTTCTGAAGACAAACCCAGTCTATGTGTCAGCAATCACAACCAGTCTATTAGGTTTCAACCCACAAGAATCCAGTGTCACTTGGCCGTCACTGACGAACTGTCACCCATCGTTTTGACAGACGCCGTCCAAAAACCCAGGACTAGACAGTGATTTAAAGTAGTGATGTCTCCTCGTCCGGACAAAATGTCTCTGAAGTTCCTTGGCTCTCAGTACTGGAGGTGTTTGCCTCACTCTCTGACTGTATCTTCACCTCCTCCTGCTCCAATTAAAGTGTTTGGACTTGGCTGTAGAATCTCTTTAATTAGCTGCAGTTCATCCAGAAGAGTGCAGTGGCTGTGAGTACGGCCAAAAGACCGGAATGTGTCAGGAGAGGAGGAGGAGGTCTGACAAGATGAGCCGTCAGGACGTCCTTGAAGGAAAAAAAAAAAAAAAAAAAGAGTCTGGTTGTTTATTTTGTCAAAAACTTCTGCCACAATAAAATAAACAATATTCCAGCCAGGTACAAAATATTTTAATATATATATATACATAAACACATATATTTATTGAACATAGAGTTTTTCTGTCCCTGTTTCTCTCTTGTCGCTGTTTAACAAAGGATTTATTGACCATCACATATGCAAACTCACACATGCTCTTTTTAATTCTCTCTTTAAAAACTGACTTTATTTTCCTCCTCTAATGAAAACGTGCAGTAAAAATCTTGGACAGGATTCAGTTGCCTGGAGTCTGTACACATTGCTGGTGCAGCGACACAGATGTTTCCAGCAGCTGATTAGATCTCTCCTGGTGCTG